CCCCATTCGTTGCGGGGACGGAGGCCTTTTAGCATGCTCCTCCCACCGAGACTTCTGGGCCTTAGCAGCAGGCCCCCTTCTTGTTGCCTTTCCCTTGGGCTCTACCTTTTCTTCTAGGGTGGTGGACGTGGAGGGCGGCTCTGCTCCGGGGCCTCGGTTGGGGGTTCCCGGGGCTGTGAGGGGAGCAAGGGCATTAAACTATTGGGGATTGTGTATACAAACACATGTTTCATACACATTCCCCAATAGTTTATTTATATGTCTTTAAATGTTTCAGGCTGTTTTTCTACATTTAACACTGTTGTTTCTCTGTATTTTCTTGCACTGAATCTGCTTTTTAACTACAGTATTTATCACTTTTGTTTACATTGGTTTTAGTAGATGACATTTTCCTGTTAAGAAGATGCTCTGTGCATCTGTAGCCTTGGGCAGGGTTTTCGACTGTAAGAGTTCCACGCTGTTTTTCAACATTTAACACTGCTATTTCTCCCTACACAAGGGACTCTCTCTTCCGTTGCTCGGTGTTCAAACCTGAGGGTCTTACCGTGGCTTTGCCTCTTTCAGCAGATCGGTCCGGTCCGGTATGTGGCAAGTTCTCCTCCAATCGTCACATCTGGTCTCTTTTTACGTGGGGTTTATCACGACTTGTATGGTGATCAGGTGGTTTTGTTGGTGTTCGACCTGCGAGTTTCATCTCGGCGGCAGTATGAAGTTTCCTGGCGGTCCTTTTGGCACTCGACTCTTCATAGGTTATCTTCTTTTTCTGATCGGGTTGTTTTGTCCTTTCTCTTAGTTGTTTCAGGACCATCATCTTATGCCGAATTCTGCCGCCTCATATTGTGTGACACTTTGAAGCCACTTCTTCTTGCATTCGGGGTGGATGTCACTTCTACTCCATTCTGCAAGCTTTCTCGGGCATTGTTTCACTTCCGGCCTGCTCATGCGCCGTCTGAGCCGTCCTGGTTGTTAGACCGGGTGCTCTCTTTTCTCTCTTCTCCTCGGTTGGTGGTGACCCTTTGGTTCAGAACTATTTTTCTAAGGCTCTTTTTCTTGTTGGCATTGACCTCTGGGGGTCGGGTCGGGAAGCTTCATGCTCTCCTCCGGCGCAGGGGTTTCTGCTCTTTCAGTCCTGGTAGTCGTTTTGTTTGTTTGTAGCCGTCTCCTCCTTTTCTGGTGAAGAATGAGAACTGCTTTCCAGAGGGGTCCTTGGGTTGTTGATGCTTGGTTGGTTCGGCTGGGGGTGCATCATGTTTTGTTTCTAGTTGCGGCTCTTCGTCGTTACTTGCGCACCACAGCCTCCGTGGCAGGGGATGCACTGAGGGTTGACCCAGTTTTCATTTTTCCCTGTTCCAGGGCACGGATCTCTCGGGTCATATTCAGGATTATTCGGTCCAGCCACCCTGCAGTCTATCCCCGTGCCGACGATGTTCGCAAGTTCGCGGCTTTGGCTGCTGTTTTTGGCAATATGGCCTGGGCTGATATTCGGGCACAGGGTTTTTGGAGGTTGAACAGAGTCCTGGCTACATGGTACCTCGTTAATGTTCCTGGCCCTTCTCAGGCTTGTGTAGTCTTAGATCTCAGGTTGCAGCCAGTTATCTCTACTTAATGTTGAGGAGCGAGTGGCAGCCGTCTCCCAGGTATGTTCCTCTTACTTTATTTTTGGTTAGGTAGTTCCGGGAAGCCAAAGGGACTCCACAGAAAACCAGCTTTGAATTTAATGAAGCTCCATTTTCTGGATGAGACCCGGAGGCTCCCCAGCATCCCTCCCTCTCTCCTTCCAGTCGGCAGTTTTTTTTTTTTTATTTTCGCACGTTTTTCATATTCTGCCTCTGAACTGGGGTTGGGTAGCTGGCGTGGGAGGTCTGGGCATCCCTTTCCCCCTCCCAAGGAGGGGAGAGTTACGCAGACAGCGGCGTGGCAGCCGAAGTGACATCATGCTTGTTTGCTCATTTTCTGATTGGGGGAATTCTGCTTGCTCGTTTGGCTTTCGGTTTGCAACTTTTAACCAGCTGTAGTTCGTTTTGAGATTCCTACCTTTCTGGGTGCCTGACCTGGTAGATGGCAGACATAGACTGGTTCCAACTACATGAGTGTGTGTGTATAGGGCATTGCTCCTCGTGCCACTCTGAGGGGGGCCAGGTTCTGGCTTGTGGTACCCGGTAGGCTAAGAACTCCATCTGCTGACTGTTGCCTGTATGATCTAATATATACACATCACCCCGGTATAGCTCCGGGGAGCCTCCAGGTCTCGCCCAGAAAATGGCGTTTCATTACATTCAATGCTGCTTTTTACATAAAGTTCTAAATAACATATTAAGTACTGTAATGCGCTACACCAGAATTAAATGATTGCAGTGTTTTATAGTAATATTTTAAGATTAGGGGTCAATAAACGCAAAAAAAGACAGTAAGCAGCCTACAATTTATTTTGGTGAAAAGTCTGAATTATTATTGATTGACACTTTTGTTTCATTTCTTTAAATATATGCTGTAGGTAAAGATTTTTGTATAAAATTCAATGATTACTTATTCAGACATATACCTGAACCTTAGCACTAAGTTACTTCTTATGACAAGATAGTCACAAGATCTGGAATTTTCAGGGAAGTTAACACTGCTGCAGTAGAGACGTTTTCAAAATATTCATGTTAGGATGACACTAGAGAACACGTCCCACTTGGAATGACCAACATTAGGTTCATTCCAAAAAAAATCAAAGTGCTTTTATGTGCTACTTGTCATTACAAGGACTGCCTTTTAGGACTCTCTAAACTTCCAAATGCCCCATCTAACTTCTACCCCAGAATACCAACAGATGGCAGCACTTTTTTTTTTTTTTTTTTTTTGAGATATATACAAGAGTTGTTACATTCTTGTACAGCCACTAGTATGCGTAGCGTTTCGGGCAAGTCCTTAATCCTATGGTCCCTGGAATACGATCCCCTGCCGCGAAGAATCGTTTTTTCATCCAAGTACACATTTTACTGTTGCGTTAAACAGAGGCTACAGTTAAGGAATTGCGCCCAGTAAATCCTCCCCGGCCAGGATACGAACCCATGACATAGCGCTCGCGGAACGCCAGGCGAGTGTCTTACCACTACACCACGGAGACTACACTACAACAGGGGTCCCCTCCTTACAACATAATCACATTCCTCCTGACTGGTCCCAGTCCAGTTAAATACAGACACAGAAACCATTACTCAGTTAAGTGGTTCCTAGGCGCTGTTGTCTATAGAAGCTTTGTTTCATTATTCAATCCCCGAGCCATGTACCCGTGCAATTCATCCAAACCACAAAGCATGCATGGCTCTCTTGACTTGCTCTCTGTAATGGATGTTTGCTAATTGTCTGGCTACATAAATTGAGCAGATAGTGAAATTTCTATTCACTGCCGAGTAACCAGCCACTATTAGACAAATTAAAATTTAAGTTTTCAGTTCTTTCTAAAAGTGAAGTCTTTGATCCTATAGGAAAAAAATGATCACACTTCTAACTATTGAATGAACAACTAGTGACTACCTTTTACTGCTACTTAATAACGGGTAAAAGAGGCTGTCAGTCCTCACTAACTGCCCAATATCCACTCACTTGACATGCAGCTCTATAGTCATATTCAGTTAGGTTTTCCTGACTGTTTATTCTATGAGACTTTCTTTGCATAAGGGATCCCTTGCTTTAGTATTCACTTCTCATGCTTGGTTACCCAGTTGTTCGTGTGTGTCTGTACTTTCGTTCTCTGATACTATGTATCAAAAGGCTACAGTTTGCAGAGCCACCTCCCTTAGTTCCTGGGACTTTTGTCTCTTATTTAATTCTTGGTGCTAAGCCAATGTACATCAGAGTTCAGCACTCCACTTCAACTGATTTTTCAGTCATTTTTGTGTACACGAATCTTGGCAGATATATGGAAGAAGGCCAATATAGTTTGTCTACAAAAATGGTAGCAGAGAAGACCCTCTTAATTATAGACCTGTATTGTTGAACAGCATAGTACAGTAGTCAAAATATTTGAAAAAAAATATTACCAAATGGGTAGAGCACTCAAAGAGGTATGACGCAAAGTTTGGTTTTCGATCAGGAAGATCCTGTGTAACAAATCTTGGTCTCTACGATAGAGCTAGAGATTTTACAGGAAAGAGATGGTTGAGTTGACTTGCATTTATCTTTTGACATAGTCCCAAAGAGATTGTTCTGGAAACGAATGTGCTGGAGAAGTGACGGGAAGAGTTTTGATATGGATGAAAAATTTTCCAACAGAAAAATAAGGGCAGTAATCAGATGCAATGTTTCAGACTGGAGAAATGTTACCAGTGAAGTACCACAGGGTTCAGTTCTAGCAACAGTAATGTTCATTGTCTATATAAACGATCTACCAGAAGGAATACGGAATAATATGAATGCGTTTGCAGATGATACCAAGCTACTAGGGAAGATAAGAAACTTAAGCAGTTGTCATGCCTTGCAAGAAGACCGGGATAAAATAAGTGTATAGAACAACATTTGGCAGACAGAATTTAATGTGAATTATTGCCACATTATGGAATGTAGAATAGGAGAAAATAGGCCACACACAACCTACAAATTTTGTGGAAAAGCTTTAAAGAATTCTGGTAAAATAGAGGTCTAGGGGTGGTTCTGGATAAAAAAAAAATCACCCGAGGATCACATAAAGAACATTGTGCAAGGAGTCTTTGCTATGCTTTCCAACTTTAGAATCTCTTAAATACTTGGATGCTGAAATATTAAAGAAATTATTCATGACTTTTGTGAGACCAAAGTTGGAATATGCAGTAGTTGTATAGTTCCCATGTCTCGAGAAGCTCTTTTACCATTCATGTCTAAATATATTTATTATAATAATATAGTACATGAGCTGGATGTCATTTTTCAGTATTATGAAGTGTATTAAACATAGTTATAACATTTAATATATATTATCTGAAATATTGTAAAACTATGTACTTAAGGCCTTAACTTATTATTTCTGTGTGTTACAGAAAAGAATGTGCATCACAACATGTCGTCTTTCTCCGAGACCATGGGATTGGGCTACCTCAAAACACAGGCCATCGAGTTTGTCAACTATAATAAGCGACAGATGTCCAGAATCTATCCCAAAGGTGCCAGGGTTGACTCTTCCAACTATATGCCTCAGGTTGGTGTGATAACTGCAACTGCAAGGTCATAGCAGACTTGCATCTTCAGCTAAACTTTAGTTTAATAATTGTTTAAAGGAAGTATTTGTGTTTTGGGTAGTGGGTTATTCCTTTGCAGTGTAAGCATGCCAGTAGAATAAAAAATATGTAAAATTAAATGCTAATTGCATGTGAAACTTTCTTTCAAAAGGTTTTTCCTTGATTTTTCTTTTCTTCTTGGTAGCTGTTTAAATTTGTGATTTACAAAATAGTACATGGTTCCAAGTCAGGCATGTGACTTGGAAATCATGAACCACGACATGAAGATTATACAACCCGAGATTCACCCGAATGCACTAGGATTTGATTCTAGGGGTGTCGGGCGAATTTCAGGGTGTATAATCTTTACATGTCGTGGTTCAGGGATAAGGTGTGCATCTGGGAGTACCCAGGACACTGGTTTGATCCCCATCTTCCTCCAACAATTTCTTCATAGATATCACTTTATTGTGAGTCCCTCTCAATTATTATGCAGTAATTTTTGTACTGTATTATAGTTTATTTATTACTACCAATAAATGATTTACTTAGGCATTAAGGAGCAGTGTATTTTAAATCTATTTAATGCTTATTCCTTGCATTGGATACTATATATGAGTATCTTCCACAGGTATTCTGGAATGCAGGGTGCCAAATGGTGTCTTTAAACTTCCAAACTTCAGATCTTCCTATGCAGCTGAATCAGGGCAAGTTTGAGTACAATGGAAATTGTGGATACCTTCTCAAGCCTGACTTCATGAGACGAACTGACAAGACGTTTGATCCCTTTGCCGAGTCTCCAGTAGATGGTGTGATTGCAGCCCAAGTTTCTGTGTCTGTATGTATGTCCTCCTGAAGGATTGTTCTCTATATTGTTAATGTAATAAAAACCTGACAGCTGCTAACATTTTGTGAAGAATCACCCAGAGACTTATAATTCATGTGGAGAAGGATGCCTTTAAACCAATTCAAATTTATTCCATGTTCCCTAAGTCATGGAAAATTCTGAAAAATTATGGAGCATTTTTTTGTTATTTGAAGGAAAGTCATGTAGAAGTTGTCTAAAATGTCAACAAAATGAAGTCATGGAAAAGTTAAAGAAAATACCAAAACCTTTTATTACAAGCATTTTATTTTTTACTTCAGGCAGCTATTTAACAAATTTTGACTATTAACATCATTAGTCTTCTATCTTGTTGATTCTCTGAATTTGCATATCTTTATTCCATAAAGTATGGAAAGTAAATGGCTGTAAGGGCAAGTGGAGACCATCTCCCCACAAAATATAGAAAAGCACCTTTTTGAGCAAACTTATTCAATCGGTCCATAAAGAAAACTTGCTGTGTCCATGGCCAAGATTGTGCAGTCAGTTAAAACAACATAGAGCATAATATAGTAATAATACACAGTGAAATCATATTAACGTGATGTATCGGAGAATATTAGTTGGAGCCGTTAGGCCTTGCATCCTCTCGCTTGGTACTCCCAAGCTAGTGCCCTAGACCACGTCGTGGCATGGTGGTCTAGGGCACTAGCTTGGAAATACCAAGTGAGTGGGTTAGAATCCTCCTCATGGCTCCTTGTTTTGATAGTACTGTACATAATAATAATAATAATGTTATTTATATAAATCAATACTCGGTAGCTTCCTGAGTTATAACACTGGATCTGCCAAGCCTTAGGGAATCTCATCAGACCCCTGAAACTGAGGTCTCGGGATATATAGATATACCCTTCCAGTTATTTTAACTTTTGTGCTTTTCTGAGCACTGTATTACCTGTTTGTGCTCAAAATTTGCAATGGTTATGCATACTAAGTTTGCATATAAACAAAATTTTAATTGTGTATTCTAACTTTAATTCTCTGATTTTCAGGTTATTGCAGGCCAGTTTTTATCAGACAAAAAGGTAGGAACCTACGTCGAAGTGGATATGTATGGCCTGCCCACTGACACAATTAGAAAAGAGTTCAGGACAAGAATGATTCCTGGCAATGGTCTCAATCCCCAGTATAATGAGGAACCTTTCCTCTTCCGTAAGGTAGGTTGATGCAGAGTTAGAAATTCTGTAGCAGCTTTGTAAAAAGATAAAATTAATATTACAGTAGTTTATACAGAAATACATATTGTAATTTTAAAATATTTAATGCATATTTAATGATTTCACCATAATGATGGTATTTTACTGTAGTTTACCACCCCTTTGAGAACTGGATGAATCTTGCCTATTGTAGCATCCAAGTGGAATTGGTCAGAAAAGAACATTTTATTAATAAATAAATTTAATAAAAAAAATTAAGTATATATATATTCTACCACAGTTACTTACAGCAGATCAAATGAAAAATTTCCTCTTGAATGTATTTTGCAACTACTGTACAACATTCACTTAAAGAGCTTGAAAGAAAAAATGCTGATATTTTCATATATCGGTATCTATTAACTTGCAAAAGTTCATTTATTTATTTATTTGTTTTAAAGGTCAAATAAATGTACTGTACCTTGTTACCTCATGTGAAAGGTTGTATTACCCGATTTGGCTGTCCTGCGATTTGGTGTATTTGACGAGAATGGAAAGATGCTAGGACAGAGGATCCTGCCCTTAGATGGCTTGCAAGCAGGCTATAGACACATATCACTGCGCACTGAAGGCAACTTTCCCATGTCACTGCCTATGTTGTTCTGCAACATTGAACTCAAGATCTATGTTCCTGATGGTCTTGGCGGTAGGTATATAATGTTGCAATGTACAGTACATGCAGTATTCTGAAAATGTTGAATGATTTAAGCAAGAAATGTTTATACAGTATATCAGTGGTGTTTGATAATATCAACTGAAATGTTCATATATTATTTGTATGTTGCCCATAAAATTTCCTGTTACAGTACTGTGAAACTATTTAAATATATACTTTAATTGTGTTTTTTGTTTGCTAAAAGTAGTAATGTAGATTTAAACAACTTTTTAACCATCATTGTCCCTGTAGACTTGATGGATGCCCTTTCGGACCCTCGAGCCTTTTTGAGTGCCCAAGAAAAGCGAGAGGAACAAATGAAGGCAATGGGTATTGAAGCTTCTGATATTGACACCAAGGCTTTGAAAGGCGGGGGAGGCAAAACGGGAGGAGCAAAGGCCGGAGGGCAAGGTGCCAAGGCTGGAGCACCAGGTGCCAAGGCTGGAGCTGGAGCCAAGAAAGAGGAAGAACCTCGTAAGTATTTGTTTTATCTTTTGTCTGTTGAAATCTGGATGAATGAATAAGTTTAAGGGAAGAGTGAAAGTAAGAAAATTATCTGGAATAGAAGAGAATGTAGTTGAAAAGTTAACCATCAGAGTGCATTTATCACCGTATGTTGACTCTTCGTTGACAGCATTTTTGCCCAAAATGCTGTGTATATTAGTGGCTTTAGGCATTGTATGTACTATACTAGCTCTATCTAGAAATCCAACATTATTATTTGTAACTCATCTTGTATTTGTTTACTTTTACCTAAATGAACGATTTGATTTGATTTGACTCGTGTGGTAATGTGGTCATCACTACCTGTTGTTGATTCCGAGGATCAACGTCCTCACGGCCCGGTCTCTGACCAGGCCTCCTGGTTGCTAGTCTGATCAACCAGGCTGTTTGATGTGGCTGCTTGCAGCCTAACATACGAGTCACATCCTGGTTGATCAGGTATCCTTTGAAGGTGCTTGTCAAGTTCACTTTTGAAGAATGTTAGAGGTCGGCCAGTTATGCCTTATATGTGTTGGGGAAGAGTGTTGAAAAGTCTTTGCCTTTGAGGTTGATTCTTCAACAAGGTCTTTTGATATGATTACCTCTAAATCTTTTACATTGCTTTTTCTTTCAATAATGTGGTTTGTCTGTTTATGTGGTTTCTGCTTTGATATTTTTGTTTTTATCCATAGTTCAGAAATTGGGTACTCATTACCCAATTAGAATCTCATTAAACATCATGTTATTTTCTGTGGCCCATTGAAAGGCTTGATTAACATTGGATTGGAGGTTATGTTAGGTTAAAGTGAGAAATATCTTTGCTGTGTCCTCAATATTGTCTACTCTTATAACAAAAATTCTAGCATCATCTGCAAAGGATGATACAGTAATATAGTTTGTATCCTCATCTATGTCTGATATGAGGATGGAAAATACCAGAACAAGCACGGTACCTTGAGGGACTGAGCTTTTCAGTGGATGATTCTGAATTTTTTTTGCCAATTATTATACTCTGGGTTCTGTTTGTTAGGAAGTTAAAGATCCATCTCTCTACTTTGCCAGTAATTCCTTGTGTACGCAGTTTTGTGTGCAATAACACCATGGTCACATTTGTTAAAAGCTTTTGCAAGATCTGTGTATACTGTATTACATTAGTGTTTTGTTTGTCTTCCATGGCATCTAAGGTCATGTCATAGTGGTCTAGCAATTATGAGAGGCAGGAGCACCCTGTTCTGAACCCATGATATCCAGGGTTATGTAGACACTGTGATTCCATGTTTTGTGATCTTACTTGGCACTCTCACAGATTTTCACAGATCTCTTGGCACAGATTTTTATGATGTGCGATGTTAGAGCTGATGGTCTACAAAATTTTGCATCAACTTTACTACCTCCTTTGTGAAGTGGCACAATCTCTGCTGTTTGAAGTATGTCAGGGATCACACCAGTATCTAGGCTCCGTCTCCAAAAGATGTTTGTGAACCTGTGATTTTCTGCAATTCTTGATGAATATATAATTCCAGGAATCTGGGCCTGGTGCAGAGTGCATGAGCATGCTGTCTATGGCTACTTCAAAGTCAATGGGTTTAGGGTAACATCTGATATATTGTTCAATGGTGGTGTCACATTCATAATTTTTTATCATTGATCTGCAATGTGTTCAGGGGTTCTCTGGAAACAAAATTGTACTGTAACTTCAGTATTTCACTAATTTCTTTGCTATCATCTGTGAAGGTTCTGTCATCCTTGCACTTAGATGTGCACATAAATCCTTAACCAGACATTAATAATTAAAGGATGGACCTTGGATGATACGCAAGCACAGAAGAAATTTGATTAAAAAGAGGATTAGAGTATGTGTATGTAAGAGAGCATGATCAAGAATGAGAACAAGTATAAGAGCATGTGTAAGTAAGAGCATGAGTGAAAGCAAATGCTAGAGAACTTGCCTATTAGTAGCTTCAGGGAAATGAGACATATCTTATAACCTGCCTTCAAGCATTTTGTACCTGTGGCAGTTTTAAAATATCTTGACTTTCGAGTTCTGTTGCACCATTTCTTGAAGGTGTAGATAAAAGCAGCTTCCAGACTACCTATACAGAGTTTGAGTATGTCCTTGCATTTCTATGACTCTATTGCATTACTAGCTTACATTGATATCCTCTTATCCAATTTTCTAAATTTAAAGAGGCTGTAAGTGTTGTCTGTTGCCCCCAGTATGTTGTATATAATCGTATCCCTTTACTCCTTTTTGTTATGGAGACATCTAGAGTGAAGATGGGAACAAGATTTAGTTCTCTCCTCCTCTCTATCCCTTATGTAAGGGGAAAAATGAATTGAAGTATACAAATTGATGAAAGGGTATAACTAGGAGCATAGGCCTGTAAATAAGGTGCTAAAAATATCAATCTACAATTGAACACACAACACAGTATGCAAAATGAATAAGTTTAGATTTAGCAGTCCTTATGGCACAGTGGCAAGACACTTTCCCTGTGCTTTGCGAGCAATTTAGCCTGGGTTCGTATCCTGGCCGGTGAGGATTGACTAGGCATCAATCCTTTAATGTACACCTCTGTTTACCCAGAAGTGAATGGTTGTTAAATGATTTGGCAGGTCGTATTTCAGAGAAAACTAGGATTAATTAAGGACCTACCCAAAATGCTATGCATGCTAGTGGCTTTACAAAGAATGAAAGAACTCTTGTGTATATATAAATAAAAATATAAAATAAAAAAATTAAGAAAATAGATTAAAGCTGGTTTGGAATAAGATCTTAGATTTATGGAACAGATGGCAAGATGCTGTAATTAGGTATGAGGTCATTGCATTATTTCAAGCATATATTAGACAAATATATGAGTGGGTGTTGTTACTATAAGTTACAGCGATAGCAAGAGTGAGTTTTAAATGAATCGAAGGGTATAACATGGAAGATTAGCCCCTCTAGAGCGAGTGTGACAAAATGAGAATGTAAGCGAGAGCAAGAGCCAAAGTAACAGCTAGAGTAAGAATGGACGAGATTAATAGGAGTTTTGGGTTGATCTCTGATCCCCCAACCATTCCTTGCCTCAAAGATTCTAGTCCTGGCTCCCAGTAGCCTTGGGTAGGTCTCAATAGCCTGGTGGAATTTCCTAAGGCTTGGCAGTAGTGCTTAATGTAATGGAAGATGGAGCCAAACAAAAAATATTTATATATTTTAATTTTTCATAGAAAATTCTATATATTCAAAAGTAAAGAATATGTATGCAAAAATAAAAAATGAAAAAATAAATACATACAGTGGAGATCTTTATGTTGATGAGGTGCAGTCATTATCATACATAGATGGTGGGGGGGGGGGGGACTAGGACCTGAAGTCCATATGACTAAATATTTTGTGGCTCCCATGACTGCTGGAGACACCATTAAGATATTGGGTTCATGTGTGTGTAACATTAGTACTGTATTCAATATTGATGAAAGACATCAATCTTTATTTCACAATGACTGCATTGAACGAGACGATCAACTTGTGATGATAAATGCACTTTGAGGGTTAATAAAAGTGCAAGCTACAGACAATATTTTTTAATTATATCGGCAATTTCCCTCCTTTTACAGTTGAATTTGAGCCCATCAACCTTGAGACACTCCGTTCACAGAAGAACTTCTTGAAAGCGACTAAGAAGCAACAGAAGGAACTGGAGAGCATGAGAAAAAAACATATGAAAGAGCGCCTATCAATCCAAAAGGGCCAATGCAGTGCAATTGAAAAATTAGCAAAGGGCAAAAAGTAAGTACAGAATCTTATTTTGTATAAATTATTCTTTATGTTCTTGTAGGTTGATATGACTTATACTTCAATTCTACTAGTTACTTATTTTTCCACAGTGGCTCTTAAAATATATACGTAAGACTTTTTAAATATTATATTTTTGCAAATCCCTTTTCTGAGCAAAGGCCACTCGGTCACATTGGAAATAGTCCCAGTTTCCTTGGGTCAGTGTGACTGTCTCCAAGGCAGTGGTAAATTTGAAAAATGAACCCCAGCAGGCTATCACAGGAGGAAGGGAGACCCTGGAGAATTCTCAGTCTTGCCGTCAATGACTCTCGGAAGATACATTCCTCTTCGTTCACATGCCTCCTGCAAATAATACAGTACTTGAAATCAGATACATGATTAAAGTATACAAATGGATGAAATTTATAAGAATGGGGATATTAATCTGGTGTTAAATATGTGAACACAAAATAGATCGCAAAACATTGGATACAAATGGGATAAGTTTAGATTCAGAAAAGACCTTGGTAAATATTGGTTTTGGAAACTGGGTTATTGATTTATGGAACAAATTGCCAGGTAACAATAGATGCGTGATCACTAGTTTGAAGCAAAGTTTATACATGTGTATGAATGAGTTTGGGTATAAATAGGAGCTGCCTTGCATGGGGCAATAGACCTTATACAATTTCATGTATTCTTATATTTTCTTAAGTTCTTGTGTAACCAGGTTCACAAAGGGCAATAAAAAAACAAAATCTACCCCTGCTATAGGAGAGTAAGTGCCAGGGATGGAATCTAATCTTCTCTGAGGTCAAGTGCTCGGAAACATTCCAAAAAACTGGGAGGTAGCAAGCCTCTGCCAACCTCAATGGTTGCTGCCACCATCACACCTACCACTAATACCTGTAGATCTACCAGCCAAAGATGTGCAGATCCCTAATTGAATGAGGAAGTTGAGAGTGCACCAAACTACAACAAGATCAAGAGATACAGCAGATGGATGCCTACACAGAGATACAGTAATCAGAAGATTTACAACCTCTGCTATAACAGCAGCGAGAGACCACAATGCATAGACTGCAAAGCAAGCACATGCAAGAAGTCCACAGCCTGCTGGGTCACCACCCCATACACTGGTGTATGGGGGTGGAACATCAACAAACTGGAAAAGGTGCAATGACATGCCACTAAGTGGCTCCCAGAACTGAAGAACATGAGCTACGAGGAGAGATTAGAGGTATTAAATATGGCAAAACTAGAAGATAGAACAAATAGAGGCGATATAATCACTACGTACAAAATATAGTATTAATGGGAATTGCTAAAATTGATGGAGAAGAATTCCTAAGACCTGGTACTTCAAGAACAAGAGGTGATAGATTTAAACTAACTAAAAGCTGCCGAAGAAATAAGAAAATTCACTTTCGCAAACAGAGTGGTAGACAGTTGGAACAGGTTAGGTGAGAAGGTGGTGAAGCCAAAACCGTCAGTAATTTCAAAGTGTTATATGACAGAGTTCTGGGAAGACGGGACACCACGAGCATAGCTCTCATCCTGTAACTACACTTTGATAATTGCACTTAGATAGTTACTGGTGCCTGAACACTATGACGCATGCTGATGTATGTGCTGCCAACACTGCACGTAGTTGGCAGCAGTGCCCAGAAAAAGGAACACTGAATAAGGAATGTGAATTTTGTCATGAAATGGGGCAGCTATGCATCCAGTGACACCATTAATCATGCAGGGATTTAAATCCAAATATTTTGGAAACTAGTGAAGACTACTGTTTTTACGTTAAGAAATTTTCAGCACAATTAATTATTAATCACGTGCTTTGAAAACTTTTACAAAGTTAACAAAAAGCAAGTGTATTACTCTGCATGTGTAATAAAATTGTATTTGTGTTTTATTAGGGATGTCATGGATGATCCAAAGATCAAAGCACTGGTGACAGAGCAGATGGAACAGTGGTCTGAAATGATGGAGAAGCATCGAAAGGAAGAATGGGAAATGCTAAAGGAACATCTCAAGAGTCAGGAGGATATTCTGAAGAAGCTCATGGAAGAAGAACAGGCTGGACAGATAAAGAAGATGGAAGGAAGACATGAACAGTAAGTTATCTTAACTTTTTCTCTCGTCTCTAGAATATAGAAAGTTTGTACAGTATGATCATTCAAAATTAAAATTCCTCCAAATTACCTGTACTTGAGATTAATGTTGACCATGAAATTTTAGCAATCATTAGTTGTAACCCTAAATGTTTTAACCTTTTAGCATTAGGTATTTTTGGTAGCTATAACTTGGGGATTTCAATTCACATAAAATCTCTAAGCAATATTTGAATACAAAGTTCCGGCCAAGCATTAACTACTGCACTGTGCAACACGCCTTGAGGCTCTTGATGGGTGATGTGCAACACGCCTTGAGGCTCTTGATGGGTGATGTGCAACACGCCTTGAGGCTCTTGATGGGTGATGTGCAACGCGCCTCAGGGATCTTATAGGTATAATGTATCTTTCAAAACTCCTGCAGCTACACGGGGTTCACATCAGCTTCCTCAGGGCTCTCCTAAACAGAAGGCATTTTTTTTTTAAATCGTGGGCAACAGTCTCGGGAATGAAAGCCTCGGTACTGAGAGAGCAACCAAGGCTGGCGCGCGCAGCATAAACTAACAGCATTGCTGTTCAGCTTTTGACCACAGCATCGCCTAAAATTTTCCAGATATATATGTATCTGGTATTATTTAGCCATGATAGTATTACAGAAGAGCCTGACTGTGATAAAAACGGTGTACAATGTTTAGACATCAGTGAATAAATGCTGTTCAAAGTTCACAGCACTAGCCCACAGCACACTGCCATCTTAGTCCATCTAAAATTCTTCAAACGATTTCTCATGGTCCTTTACAAAATAAACGTGTGGAAAATTATTCATTTACATGATTTAGTGACCAGGATTCTGATAATAGCAGCATTGTGGTGAGAATTAGCAATGTGAATTAGCGGTAGGAGTAGTACTGTTGGTGAGGAGAGGGAAGGAGAGGTGGCGTTGGCTGCTGGCTGGTGTGTGGCAACATGTTATTGTCTGGAATCACCATACCAGCTTTGTGGTTCGCTATGGTGAACACAAATGTAGATACTTATAAATAATGTGCGTATAGAGTATATCAACAGCAAAAGGCTAATGTTGGGAGGAGCCATTTAGGTGAGTGAGAGAGTGAGACTGTCGTCTGCTGTATGACTTGTCATGCAGTGGCCACTATGCTGTTTGGACACCATACCAGCTTATTAGTATAATTATGGTGAATAAAACATGTAGTGATACTTATATATAATGTGTGTATATAGTGTAATAACACTACAAACAGTATTGTAGGAGGAGTATTGTTGGCAAGTTAGGTGTTGAAGGAGTGAGTGGGGGCCTAGTGACCTTGAGCATTCCATCGCTCAGCGCCCATAACGTGCTCAACTTTCCAGGTCCATTGCAGCTAAAGTATGTCGCATACAATTTTTTTTTTTTTTAGTTTCCTGTGATCAGAGACTGCATTTTAACAATATAAGAAGAGAAAATATTTCTTTGGAAAGAATTTATTTTTGGCGCACCATGGGTGTGTTGTATTTTAATGCAGAGCAGTGCAGTGGTTAATTTGTTGCTGCTAGTTGACCACTTTATTACTATCCTCACCAGCCACCAGGTGACACCACTGACTGTAGAGAGCAACAAATGATCTTGCCTCACTTTATTTCCTGGTTTGCTTTCTACCTTGCCAGCATGAAGATGTGTTCTCTCAGGTGTTAGTTGTCTACCATTTCCATAGTCAAGTGGGATTCTCCCATGAAGATATTTAAATCTCCTATACTTCTCAACTTGTTGAAGGTTAATACTCATATTCCATGTCCTACATATCAGATGAGCACTGTGTCAGTTCTAAGGTTATGTCAAGCTAACAGTGGCTCATTTTCCTGGACCTCTAGGATGTGTGTTGGCATGTTAAAGACTATCCTTGGTTCAGGGGTTGATTGATCCCTGAACCTTATATAACTTTCAGGCTCTTCCCTTTGTGCTCAAGTTGGCTCTCAGGCCATTCTCCATATTTATTCAAATGGTCTTTTGAGAGCTGATGCTCATGGGAATCAGTGTCTTGGTCTTCCTGGACAAGTGGTTGGCTTGGGTCCCCAATAGTTAGCTCTGCCTGCTGGCCCAAGATACTATACTTAAGTTGCTGATACTTTGATGAGGCCTCAACCATGCTAAAGCAGAGCTTAAACATCCTGCCTAAGACATACAGGAGAGGGGCAAGCAACAGAAGCACAGCCAAAGTGTGCTCATAATAGGAGAAGTACTGCCATGGACAGGCCCTGCAAGATGTGGCAGACTGAGTCATACACCAGAGAAAGGGACAATAGTATTCTAACTGGAGCATAGACCCTGAGGAACATACCCATAAACACAGGCAGCTGTTGGAATTGTCCAGCAGCTTTATTTTCTCGGTATAATTATTTCCATTAATTCATCTTCAGCCTTAGTACTGAAGAGGTTCTGAGCTATGTATCATTGACATTAATTGTAGCAGGACAGTATTGTCAATTATTATTCATTATATGGTATATAACATTTTTATAACAAGCTAATTTGAAAAATACCACATTTTGTAAATGTGGTATTCACAAAAATACCACATACCACAGTATGTGGTATACCACATACTGGCAAGTTGTGCTACAGATCAATTCAGTGACCTGTAGCACAGTAGTTAGCATAGTCAGCTCACCATTAACTGATCTTGGGTTCAATTCCAGGGGTGAGTTAGACATTTAAACAAGTTTCCTTATAGATGATGGACATGTTCACCTAGCAGTAAATAGACATATATTAAACAGTTGCATTTTGGGGGAATTGTTAGTTATTGGCTAAATCTACTTGATATGCCTAACAGGCATGCTGTCCTCAACAATAGGAAACCTTAAGATTCAATGCTTAAGATAATTGAATTTCTAAACCATTCGAGTTTTTGTTGTGTTTTAATTACTTTGACAAATTTTTAAGGATTTTATATGTATTCTTAAGAACAATATACTTTTGTTTTTATATGTTATGGTAATATAATTAACTGGTTATATGCCATTACTGTAGTACTATACCATATATCTGATGAGAATGACAAAAAAATGTCATTCTGACAAAAATGTCAAAAATATATTTTGTTTTTAATCAGTGAAAAATGGTGCTAGAGATTACAAAACATTCATTTTCAGAGACATGAAGGACATGAAGGCACAGCAAGCTAAATTGGCTATGGAAACTGCCAAAGATGTGAATCAAGACAAAACTCTAAAAACTAAAGCTGACCGTGACCGTCGTCTCAAAGAAAAGAATCAGAATAACACGAAGAGGTTCATAGAAGAGCGTAAAATTTCTGCAATGAAGCAAGGGAAACAGAAGGAGAAACTTAGGAAGGTTCACGAGCAGCAGATGACCGAACTTACAAGAGATATCAAAATGGTTAGCCGTCTCATTTTCTTTAGTGCCTTGTATTGCTTTTGTATCCTGTCTTAGCTCAAGTATTGCTAAAAAAATGCATGCTAGAATCAGCTCATATTTAAAATTCCTCTGCATATTGTGTTTACTGTAAAGAATTGTGCATGTAATTGCATTTTACAAAGCAGCTTATATCATTCACATGTTTGAGAGACACTGTCTTTCTAACTAGTGAGCTATGATATGCAAAAAATTTATTTTATTTAGTAGGCTACAAGCTCTGTACTCACAGATATATAATTACACTCTCTCTCTCTCTCTCTCTTTGACCCTACTCTAGTTGGATCCTGATTATATGTGGCATTATTCTGTGTAGTTCTATTCTACATGGGTAAAATAATTGAGACATACAGTAGTTGAATCTATATGGTAAAATTCTTATCTACACATGAAATTATTGGTCTCAAAATATTTAACAAAATATACCATGTACATAAAATGCAATATGCATACAGATTATACTCTAAGCTTTGTAATAACATTTTGTCAAATATAGATCAATAGAAAGGAAACTGCCACAATACCAACAGTGAAAATATGAAGGAATTTGCATGCAAGGTGGAAGGTGGGGACACATTACTTGCATTGTTGTTTCACCTGTCGCTCGGGTCTACTTTTATTTTGCATTTATATTACTCGCACTAAAACTTCATTTGAAAGATTAAAGCACCCGGGTTCATTGTGTTGCCTTATTGCATCTACACAAGAGTTTTGATTTACAGCACCCACAGTATTTGTATCATGTCTCGTAACCTATTTCTTCCCGGAGCACATTTTGTTCCTCACAAGATTCTTAAGATTAATTTCCATAGTTCAGTTGTACATGGTGTTTCCAGGAATGCACTCTCATATAAAATCAGGATCCTTCTGTATTATTTCCCACATTTATTGTAAGTTTGCTCCCTTGAAAGATTTTGTATTCGCCAATGTTATTAGACCTCATCACACAGATTTCTCCACACTTACTCCCAGCACATAGGAATACCCCTACATACACTTCCTTCACCATAACCAACACATTGTCTGCCTTCATACATTTCTGTACAGTACTGTATATATTCCTGTATCCTCTGATGCCTAGTTTCCTATGGGAACTCTCATTCTCGAGAAGTGGCCTCATTTAAAATCTAACCCAATATTTCAACCTCCTTTAAGTGTTTTGAAACACTAAATGTTTGCTTAAGAAATCTATTTACTTGTTTGGTTATCACATAGGTGAAGCAGTCGTCATTTGCTTGCACTGAGAAACAAGAATGTAACCAAAGAAAATAACCATCAGTTGGAGAAAGGGCAACCCTTCCCCCAAAACTTCCCCCACCACGGTGCTTCCATGGGCAGCTGAGGCCAACAGTCTACAACCTGTACGTGCTGTTCACCCAATCATTATTTCTTTCCAAATTCGTCACAGCTGCCTGGTTAAATTCTATGGTCATTTATAGATGGCTATTTTAAGGAAGCAGCTATTGGTGTGGTACTTTCTGGCAAAGTCACTCGCAGGAATGTAGTGTGGTGGAGAAGACTTGGAGCATAATCACTTTTTTTGAACTATTAGTCAAATTCAAACATTAGTTATGTTAGGACTGCTGCAGGTGGTCATCTCCAGCATGAACTGTTTGCTGTAAGTCAAGAGTATTTATTAGTTCATGGATTGTTACATCTAAAGAGAGAACTGAAACTTGGTTGTGAAAACGTTTCACCAATATAGAAAGTGATGTTCAACAAAATTTAGTTGGCACCTTTAGTTGGCATCACTGTTTTAATCATTTTTACACAAATGGGCGTACCTCTTCTAAAGCAAACCCTCTCACCCATTTTGTTCCAAATACATTTTACAGATTTTTTCAGCTGACACTGTGTAGCATGCACAGTTAATTAACTAATCATCATTGCCCTTTGTTTTGTTAATTGAGCCCTTTACTTTCCATAAGTATTGATTTCTTTATCATAAGAGTCTAGTTTCAATATAAAACCAATTTAATTTCTTAAAATTTGTAATTGTCATGGTTCTGTGCCATCCTTCTGTCTTAGTGTATTCATTAGTTTAGACCTCATGCTATCTCATCTTCTCTATTATCTTCATCATATGATGTTTTGAATCTTCTGATGGTTTTGCCATCTTCTATCCTTTCCATCCGTCTAATAATCTGTTTGCAGAGAATTTTCATACATTTATTTGGCACAATTGTTTTCTTAGTTTGAATCTGGCATTTTGTTCTCAAAGTTGCAGGTTTCCAAAATTCTTTCCTGTCAATTTTTGCTGATGCTTGTCAAGATTTTGTATGTGGTGATGACATCGCCTTTGTTTACTTCTGTCATAATTAACAACTTTAGCATCTCTTCAACACTTGTGCTTAAGGTCTGAAAGCTATTTAAATAGCATGTCTTTGCACTTTTACTAATTTATTGATATGCTTCCTAAAGTGTTTACACTATGCAATTTCTGCATATTATAATTTTGTTTCTATGCCTGTCACGAGCAATTTCTTTAGTTCTTCTCCAGTGCGTTTAGAAGCATTCTTAAATTTGCAAATGTAGGTCTCTCTCTCTCTTCTATGCCTTTGATGTGATCATCTGGACAACTCACTATACAGATCTCTTTCTTCATCCGAGTTTTTTAGAACCTTTTCAGATAATTTGTAGGTTAAAAGTACCTGCTTTTCTCTATTCTACATTATATTCTGTGATATGTATCCTCACTGAATTCCATCTGTCATTTATTATTCCATTCACTCATTTTGTCCAGGTCATTTTAATTAAATGCAAAACAGTCGGCTAGGTCTTTTATTCTTCATATTAGCAAATATATACATTTTATATACTGTACATAACTCTGAATCCTTTGTGGTAGAACATTTATATAGACTAGTACAGTATTACTGGTCTTAGTACTCAACCTTGTGGTACTCTGCTAGTGACATTTCTGCAGTTCAATACTGTACATTGCTTCCAATCAGTGTTCTCATTTTCTGTATCAAATTTTGTCATGTTAGTAGCTTGCCTGTTACCCCTCCTGTGTTCTAGCTTCCAGAACTGCCTCTTGTGGGGGACTCTGTTGAATGCCTTCTTTAGGTCCAGATAGATGCAGTCAACCCATCCACCTCTTTCCTGTAAGATCTCTGTGGCTCTATCATAAAAGCTAAGTAAATGTATTACTCAGGACCTTCCAGTTTCAAAGCTATACTGCCTTTTATTACGTAATTTCTTTCCAGGAATTCTAACAATTTGATTTTAAATTTGTAATTACTTTTTTTTTTTTATGATTTGAGTGGCACACTTGTTAGCGATACAGGTATAAAGTTTAGAGGGGTCTTTCCTGTTGCCTTGTTTGTAAACTGGAATTGTTTGCTCTTTTCCATATGTCTGCTAGGATCCTTGTTTGTAAGGATGTCTGAAAAATAATCTGTAAGTGCTGCAAGTTATGCCCTTTCAAATTTAAATAGGCTGCTCTTGACAACCTTTTTTCTACATCATTTGTAGTGATCATAACCCTTCTTTCTCCTCTGCTCTAAGATTGTGAGGTTGAGATTGTTTATGTCCTTATAGCTAAGCCCTCTCAATTCTGGTACTATTCTAATTGCAAACCTCTTTAGTTATCTATTGTTCTTCTCGAGGTGTGGAGTCCACATTGGTGCTGTATACCTCAATAATGGTCTCCCATAGGCAGTGTAAATGGATAACGGATAACCCAAATATTTTGTTCAATGAGCTTTGGATAACAGAACTCGTACAGTATTTTCTTATAGTTCCCTAACCCTTTTGAGGTAGTTTCCTATAGGTCTCATCTCCCTCTTTTTTCCATCTTCATTACCTTACACTTATTTGTACTGAATTCTAGCAGCCATTTATCTTCCCACTCCTGACATTTGTCAAGGTTTTCTTACTTTCCTTGTAAACTTTGCATCATCTGCAAACGTTGACATGTATGAGCTCACTTCCCCTGGTAGGTTGTTTGCATAGATTAGAAAGGATATCATTCCTAGGATAGATACCTGAGGAACCCCACCCCCCCACCCCACACTTTCCATTCACCTCCAGGCTATTCTCTCCATGACCCTTTGTTTTCTGTCAGATGTGCCCTTGCTCAGTTCAGTATTTTTCCTATTATCCCTGCTTGTCTCGTAATCTTGTGGAGGAACTGTATCAATAGCTAACAGTCTAGTCTGATGATGCAGTCTATCCATCCATCAGTTTCTTGCCTTACTTTGTTGTCCCAGTTATACAATGCAGTCAAGTTTGTTTGGTGTAATTTTTTCTCTGAATCATTGTTGTCCATTACAAATTTGACTCAGACATGTTCCACTCTTCTTTTCCTGACATGTTTAGTATTTTGCATGAGATGCATGTTAATGACACTGGTGTATATAGTGCTTCACCTCTCTTCCTGTTCTTTAACATTGGAACTACATTCTCATTTTCTCAGATTTCCTGAAGTTTTTCTATATCTAGCCATCTGTTGTCATTTATCCTTGGACTCCAGTCTGGTTCCAATTTGTAGACCTAGAACCTTTTGTAGAGTTTTTGAGTTCTTCAAACACTTCTTTGTCAGTCTCCAAGAGTGTTCATTCCTGTCCCTACAGTCTAGTTACATGATCTCGTTACTGAGGTTGGTCCTTTGCTGTTGTTGCAATGTCAGTTTAAAACTGCAACTCCATTGCCCTCATGTTTCTGTTGTACTCATATTTGGTCCTCTTAAGTGGCTCCCTATCTGCTTCTGTATCCATATTCTTGACAGAAATAGGCATGGAATTTTTTCCTCTCACTATTTAACCATGGCAATGTGGTTCTTTTCATCCACTTACCTCCCAAGAGAGATGAACTGTTCCATTGCATTTGTGCACTCATTATGGATTTGATCATCTCATTGATAACTTGCCTCCCAATTCAATCTCTCATTGAACATCCTGTAGATAGGCCCCAATCTGCATGTAATCCCCCTCATCTGTGTTCTTTCACACACTATCCTCTTTCTTGGTCTAAATTCCTTTGTTCTACAATGTAATTGAACATGATAGTGCAGTGGTTATTGGCTCCTAGTGACAACTGATATTTATTGTTCTTTATATCTATTTTAAATACCAGTAAACACCAGGTCTAGGGTAGCTGGTGGATTCCCTTTCTCTTGTTGGCTCTGTGATATATTGCCAAAGAAAGTGTTTGCAGTGGCCAATAATCTTGCTTTCCATGTTTCATCTTCTGTATGGTACTTTGTTAACCAGTCCGGTTTTCTATGATTAAAATCTCGAAGTACAGTACTAGGATTCATGGTCTCGCTTTCCTTGCTGCCATAGCTGTCCGTTATATTGTCTTCATCATGTTAAGTTGCATTTGTTGTACTCCATCCTTCCTGTATTTCGTGGAGGATTGTAAATAACCCTACCACTGTCTTCATGGTTCCCACTAATGTTATAACGAGTATGTAGTCCTGCTAGTTGTTTATCTCTAGAATTTCTTCCCTGAAAATTTAAACGATGTATCAATAGGACTACGTCTCCTCTCATCCTGTTTATCTGTTTTTGCTACCTGGTGTCCTCCTCGAGAGTGTAGCATTCTCCTTTACCTTTGTCTATTTGTGCATGTAATTTGTGTACTTATTTCTACTGGGCTGTTTAGTTTTTTCCCCAAGGTACAGATTTTTCCTTTAGACTAGCTCCATTCTGGCGGGTGGCAATTGCGAGTGTTGATCTAGTCACACACTCTTATTTCCCTCTTATCTTTCCTTGCCAGTCTGAGTAGGCCCACTATCTTGATGTATCTAAAACACTATTGCCCTGGCCTCTAAACCTTATTACCACCTTGCTCTGTTTCATGTCCCTCTTACAAATAATCTCTTGTACTTTTCTTCAATTTCCTTAGCAGCCCCTCTTTCTTACTAATTTCCTAGTCAATGTGTACATAGCTGTATTTCCCTCGGTCTTATTTTCTCTGCCAATATTTAAATCTTGGATGACAGATGAGTGAAGGGTAACTTCCTTTATGTTGAGCCTTTCCTATCCTGCAAGCATTTTATACTTCGTTGAATTCCCAACTTGCAACAATTTGCCAAGGACTTTCTTCAACTCTTCCCAGTCACCATTGTTTTCTTCTGTTATGTGGACCCTCCCTCTGGTTCTGTAAGTTGTCGATAAAACATGGTAAAACATTTTGAGTGGTGTTATTTTCTGACTGCTTATACATTATCTCCAAGGTACAGAAAATGGCAATTATTTCCCCCTCAAACATTGGTTTGAGCTTACATTAAACAGTTTAGGAAAAACCTCTTTAAGGTACCTGAAGGCTGGCAACTTATGGAAACCTGTCCAAGCTTTAGATAAGGAATTGGCAGCCTTTGGATACCTTGATGTTTTCCCTAAGCTGTCTTAGG